TGTTCAAACACAAAACAATGGAGGATAGGCTCCCATTAAAACTTAACTGGAAATGTTGTTTTTAAAGGATTTCAGTTTGTAAATATTCATTGTTTATGGTCAAATTTTTCTACAGGTAATACAGAAAAATCTTTCACTTTCTGTGTTATCTGTAAAGAAGACACTGAATCTGAGTCTTTTCTTCACCATCAGTCATCTAAAACCAGGTAAGTTACCACCTCATAATTTATTCGGCACACTGATGTTTTCACTGCTTTATCAGTTGCTACATTTTTCTTAAACTGCACAGTCAGGTCGCGCAGAGCTGACAGATTCACCTGAGTTTCGAGGAGCGAAGAATCCTGGTCAGCGAGACACAGTTTCCCTCCATCAGCCCTTTGCCCACTGTGGGAGTGGACCCCTTCCTGCAGGCTGAATACAGCGAACATGCCAGCCAGTGTACAACATCTCCCTGCAGAGAAACAGCAACACAACATTTACACATCTGTCTTTGATACATAACATAAACAGAAAGCTTTGTGATCAAACAGCTGCGTGATGCACAATCATATTCATCTTTTTAGTCAAGAAACATCAAACTGATCAGAAAACATTTTGCTGTTACAGCTTCAGAAATATGAATTAGGAATCAACATTATACTTATAAGAGTGTGTCTGTGTTTTTTAAAAATATCCTTTCCTGCTTTTATCCATGTTTTAATTTTTGGATTCTACTTAAGTTTTAATAATAATAATAATAAATTTTATTTAAAAGCACCTTTCAAAACACTCAAGGACACTTTACAGAACAAATAAGACAAGCATGAAAACAGGAAATGAACACAATAATGAAATAAAGTTTAAGAGCATGGAGTAGTTACACAGAGTAGGCCATCTATGCATGACTCACGGTTTCAAATAATTCCCATTTATTGTTTTTCATTTTATTTTTCAATAAACAACATTGCCATGAATTTTATACATTTAAGTGAATAAAAAAAAATCTAAAATTTCATCAGTGGTGCATCCCTATACCACAAGCACTCTTTAAATTACTGCACAGCTTTACCCACCCACACTAGTATACAAGAACAGGCTTGACATAATCAAGTCAAGCGTCTTTAAAATTCATGACCAAGGTCAGTGGTAACAATACGTTTCCCCCTTTTTGTTATTCAGTCCAAACCCTGATATGAGCGAAGACTGTGGTTCTGGACAGTAGTTACATTCAATAAATAAAACATTATGATTACTCTAGTGTCTACTTTATCAGAAACTCACGCCATCACAGCAACCCAAACAATAAACAACATATGACAACAACAGCTCAACAAAATAAATGCCAAATAAATCTATATACGCTGTCTTTAGTCTCTCATCTATTTTTAGTTTATTTTATTGTATATATTTAGCTTGATCAGCTGATACCTGCTGTAGCACTAAAGCTTCCCTTGGACATTAAGTATTTTTGCATTACAGAGGCTGAAACCAGGGGTGACTCTGACACAGGAATAAATCAGCACGATCATTTTACTGGCAATATAATTAGTTCATAAACAGTGGCGATCGACTAACCGGTGCGACTCCAGCGTGGAAAGTAAAAACAGAGCCCTTTAACTGCTGTATTCGTGTCCGGGTCTAGCATTCACTACACATGAAAATTAATCTACAGTAATGAGCTTAGCAGGAGTCTGACTCATTAAACAGCTACTGACTATTTAGAGGACATTATTCACCTCCAGAGTATATGTATTCCATATGGCAGTAAAGTTGTCCATAGCTTCTGTGGCCGTTTGTTCGTCCATGTTCAGCTCCTGACACAACGTCTCCAAACTCCTCCGCACCGAGCTCTCCTCCATCCTGCTCGACTCCGAATCCGAAGACTCTTCGCCCCGCATCCGCGACAGGTATAATTTCAACCTGAGTTCAAATCTAAAAACCAAAACACAGCGCCCCTCTTTCCCACTGCCAAACAACACAGCCCACCAACTTGTTCAGGACACAACAACTTCCGTTATCAGTCCCCCACAATGCAGCGCGTTGGCGCGAAAACTTCACGACCCGGACCAATCAGAGGCGAGGGGAGCGTCGGTCCTGAGCTGTTCGCCCAACCCCCTGCCACAAGCTGAAAGCTCGTGCTCAGCAGACGCTCTGGCTCTTTGCTTTCAGCAAATTAATGTTCAGTTAATTTATTTTAAATTTTGATTATTGGTAGTGATGGGTAGATGAGGCCTCGTGAAGCGTTTCAGCACATTCCCCAAACTGTATCGATACTGTGCCGACACAGTGTTGCTGTTTTGCTCCATACTGTCACCTGCTGGACTTTAAGTATCATTGCAGGCAACTTACTTGAGACTCACAACAGGCACTGATTCAATGACCTAGTCATACTTGTATACACTGTAAGGTATTGTACTTTCCATGGAATCATTTTATATTTTTTACATTGCAAATATTGTAGACATCTTTAAAATATATTGTGAATGACATTAAGTGAAAATTAAAATGAAGGTATTGTGAATGTAACATTACCCATTTAAATGTATTTGACTCAGAGTTTAT